ATACCAATTCATGTCTTCATACATGTACTTTGGATAGCAGTGAACCATCCCATGCCCCCTTCCTTCCCCTCCAATCCCTCTACCCTATCTAGAGTTCGTCTATTTCTCTCATGCTCCTGCTCCCTATCCCATTATGAATCAGCCTCCTTATTATCAAAGAAAACATTTGGCATTTGGTTTTTGGGGATTGGCTAACTTTACTTAGCATTATCTTCTGGAATTCCATCCAGTTATCTGCAAATGCCATGATTTTATTCTATTTTATTGCTGAGTAATATTCCATTGTGTATATGTGTGACATTTTTATCCATTCATCTATTGAAGGGCATTTAGGTTGGTTCCACAGTTTAGCTATTATGAATTGTGCTGTTATAAACATTGATGTGGCTGTGTCCCTGTAGTGTGCTGTTTTTAAGTCCTTTTGGGTATAGACTGAGGAGAGGGACAGCTGGATCAAATGGTGGTTCCATTCCCAATTTTCCAAGAAATCTTATACTACTTTCCATATTGGCTGCACCAATTTGCAGTCCCACCAGCAGTGTATGAGAGTACCTTTTCCCCCACATCCTCGCCAACACTTATTGTTGGTTGTATACCTAATAGCTGCCATTCTGACTGGAGTGAGATGAAATCTTAGAGTGGTTTTGATTTGCATTTCTCTAATTGCTAGTGAACATTTTTTCATGTATTTGTTGATTGATTCTTCTGAGAAGTATCTGTTCAGTTCCTTGGCCCATTTATTGATTTGGTTATTTGTTTTTTGGGTGTTTAGCTTTTTGAGTTTAATGTGAAATTTCTTTGAGCAGTCCTTTATTGACACAGGCTTTAATTGATGGACATCTGTAGTTTGTAATACCATAAGAAATAGGAACAATTGATAATAGCTTAAATGTCAACTATTAGGTAATTAATTCATCGAGTATTACTGGTAACTGAAAACCATTTCTTTATTAAACCTTAGGCTAAAAAAAATATGACAAAGGTGTGTTTCAACTTTTTTTCTCCTTAGTTTAGTTGATATTATTGACTAAATTTTTATTAGCCAGCATTTCAAAGATGTTTTTGAGAGAAACAAGTCAAAATAGAATTGAAATTTGCAGTAAAATATTTTCTTAAGGCCATTGCTTTCTGTGTGGAGAATTAATATATTTTATTAAATATGTGATGAATGCAAAGCAATGATTTTAATGAAATGCTTTTTAAAAAGAATTATCACAGTGTCTTTAAGAGTCTATGCATATTCTATCTACAACAACAGTAAACAGTAAACAAAATCCCTTATTAAGTTGAAGTTTATAGTTTATAGGATGTCTTTTTTCTTGTATTATATACTATGCAGAAGGTAGTATATTGTTTTTCACCCTTGTATAATCAGGGTAACTATCCAAAATGCAAGCCAACCAATTTTAAGCTCAGTATCATTTCACATATGTTACTAGTCTTTGCTTTTTCTTTGATGTGCCAGATGAAATGATCAGTAATAAGAAGAGAAAAAATCCACTCTTATTCCATAAGTTCCTCTTTCTTGCTGACTTTTCCACTGAAAACCATGTTTCCTATTTGTATTTATCTTCATTTTAGTCTTTTATGGAAATCATCTGATTTGTGCTTGTTCCCTCAAACATATGGTTTTTATTTCTAGCACAAAAGTCTTTTGAGAAATCTAATTTGACAAGTCGTATGCTATCAGAATCCAAGTGTTATAGAGCAGTTTCATTTGCCTCTTTAAAATTAGAATTCAGCTTGAATTTACTGTTCTTAATCTGCTATAAAGCACTATAATTATTAATGTAACACTGAATTTCCTTCCTACTGACAATGATGCAAGAGTTTCTTTTTCTTTTTTGGTCCTGGAAGGTATCATGTTGTTACCCATTAAATATATGAGAATTGAGGTGAGAAATTCACTATATTGCTATAAAAATCTGTGTGAACACATCTTTTTCCTTTCATTACCCACCCCTTCTCCATTGCTAGAATATTAACAGTGAATTTAAGTAAGTTAATTAAGCTCTATTCTTCATTAGTTCAAAACTCTAAAAATTAATATATTAACAAAAGGCAGTATACAGGATGTCCAACAGTAAATTTATAAATATTAATGTACAGAAAATGGATGTTTGACTGTATATCATAACATTGTCCTAGAGATATTTAATCCATAACAAAAGTTGATAAATACCAATAAATTGTCACAACATATTTTCACTTTCCTTAACATTTCCTAGGGCTTTATTTTAGATATATTTTAATTTGATTTTTTAGGGACGATAAAAGAATAATTGTTTGGAATGGATTTTTGGTAAAGCATATGAAGCAGTATATCATGGGGACAGGTGCTAAGTACCCTGAGGGCTGGTGTCATGAGGATAGCAGCTTGGAAGAAGGTTCAGGAATAGCAGTAGGCCAGATCCCAAGAGAATAAACAAAAGAAACCAATCACCATTTGTTCAAGTTAGAGGAAAAATTCTTTCAAGCTAGGTATAAACAAAGCAGGTAATCTGGAAATTGTAAATGTCAATAATTATATTGTCAACATACCAAAGTAGGTCCCGATAATTAAGGACTTTGACGTGAAAAATACCCACTAGCCAGGTGTGGTGGGACATATATGTAATCCCAGTGCTCAGGACAGTGAGGCAGGAGGATCACCTGTTCAGAGCCAGCCTCAGCAATTTAGTTAGGCCCTAAGCAACTTAGTGAGACCGTGTCTCAAAATTTAAAAAGTAGAATGAAAAGGGCTGGAGATGTGGCTCAGTGGTTAAGTTCCCCTGGATTCAATCCCTGGTTAAAAAAAAAAAAAAATAGTTACCCACTACATTAGTAAGTCTAAAATTCAATTCAACTGGAGGACAGAATAGACGTTAAACCATCTACTCTCAGTTCCATGGCTGATCAAACCCAAGTATACCTTCTGAACATTGCTGTGCTTTCTAATAGAGGTGAATTAGGACCCTCCTTTCCTCTAAGAGAGTCAACCTTAATATAACCCAGCATTTACTAGAGTGGGTTCCAGATTTTATGTTTTTTTTTAAAAAAAAAAATGTTTCATCACCCAGTAAATTTGTATTCTTCACTATAAATCAAAATGTAACGTTTCATTTTTTTTACTTTTTATCATATTTTATTTTATTTGTTCAGCAAATATGTATTTAATTCCTTTCATAAGCCAGACATCTAGATACTGGGGACAGAAGTGGGATAATATAGATGTTCTATATTTTAGATTTTCTAGCCAGTATAGAAAAATAAATCTTGAAATAAATGATTGCAATATAGTATATTAAGGATTGAGATAGGAGAGATCAAGGGTCAAAGGGAATACACAACAAGAGCACATACTCTGGTCTTCAAAGAGTCAGGGAAGAGACTTTGAAGAAGTATTGTTAATACTAAAAGCGTAAAGATCAAGTAGAAGTTGGGCCAGGAAATTTCAGTCACTTCAAGAGCCATAACAATAACAACCAATGACTAAAGCTGGCATGTTATTGTACTCCTGCTGCCTTCCACATACTATGCCACAGACTTTCCAAGCATTCCTTCAGCAATTTTCCTGGGCAGATCTTATTACTTACCCAAGATCATATTACTAACAAGTAGCCAGAAGGAAAATTTACTGATTATTCTGACTCTAGAGTCCTCTTTCTGCTACCCCAACTGCCTCTCAAAGCAATTAACTAATTTCAATTGAATTTGTTTTGCTTTAAAAAAAAATTGAGTGCTATGTTAAATTTGCTTTGGTTTTGATTGATATGTGATATGACTTTAAAAAATAGATACACATTTTACAATTTTCACAGATGGTAGTAAAATTTGGCATTTGGGTGTGAGTTTCACATGCATATTATAGCACCAAGTTTTGAAGTTCACATTCCAAGTGATGTCTTACACATACAATTTCAACTTCACATTTTATTTTAACTAAATGGTAGGGTCATTTGAAAAGACAACTTTGAACCATTCCAAAGAAAGTCATTACTCACATTTTAATAGTAGTTCTAATTCTCTGAGACTTAATCCAGCTGGCTGTAGTATTTTATTTTAAAAAATACAGTATATATAAAAGGGGATGATATTAAATTGATCCCCTCAAGTCTTTGAACCTGCCTAATACCTACAGCTTCTGTGCATGTTTAACAAAAATATCCATAAGTAATACAGACTTTATATCTCATCAGGAAAGAGGCTTACAACACCAAGATAACTCACTATCAATACTTTTGAAGATTATCAATTAAAGGAGCATTTGATAAATAGGAAAAAGTGGTTTAAGAAAATAAATTGGATTACTGTAAACGCAGCAAAATGTTTAAAATCCAATGAAGTAATTCTTCAGTGTTCTTGGAAGTGGTGTGAGTCATGCTTTAGTACCTAGTGATGGCTGATTGGGCTGTATCATATAATTTGTAGACTTGCTTTATTTATTTGACCATGTCAACATGCCAATTATTATCAAACTTGCCCATCCTATTATTATAATTTTTTTTCTGTGCTGGGAATGAACCCAAGTGTAGCTACATTTAAATTTTATTTTTAAATTTTGAGACAGGGTCTTGTGAAATTCCCCAGGCTGGCCTCCATCTTGTGATCCTCCTGCCTTGGCCTCTGGATTGCTGGGATTATAGCATGCGCTACTGCACCTGGCTGAGATTACTTCTAAGTAACATAAATATTATATATAATATAAAACATTTTTTGAAATTTCTCTATTTCATCCTCATGAGGTAATTCTGAGATATGAAATGATCATAAAGGAGAAAAGAAAAAGAAGAACCTGATTAATCTATAAACATAGATTAATTCCCAAATCCTTGTAATTTATATTAATTTAACAACATACTGTTGCTGGATGAAATTTCACTTGTTATTTTTATTTTTATTCAGAAAAGCAGGATGGTGAAACAAAATTTTAAAAGAACTTCTTTTGTGTGGTATTTTATTTGTAATCAAACATGGGTTTATTTCCTTATTAACTATAAAACATGTTGGTTTCACCTTAGGGACACCACAGTACAAACGCTTACTCTTCAGCCTTCAGTTAAAGATGGACTGATTGTGTATGAAGACTCACCTTTGGTTAGTAATCCAATTATATGAATATTTTAAATATTTTAAATGATAGTAGAGAAATCTCCCATAGATTCTAATGTTTTTTAGACTAACTAGAATGCACTTGTTCAGGTGTTATTTTAGGGACAGATATTTAAATGTAAATTATTGGGAAATATCATTTCTAAAATTATGTTCTCTTTTCAGAGAGAAGGGGTGGGGAGAGAGAGAGACATAAATTTAGGGAATGACAAAAGTCCTTTACTGATTTCTCTTCTAAATTTTTTTTAAGGTTGCTATTGTTTCCAAACGTGTATAGTTTGAAATTAGGTAATATTTCTTTTTTTTTTAATTTTTTATTGTTGGTTGTTCAAAACATTACAAATTTCTTGATATATCATATTTCACACTTTGATTCAAGTGGGTTATGAACTCCCATTTTAACTCCATATACAGATTGCAGAATCACATCAGTTACACATCCATTGATTTACATATTGCCATACTAGTGTCTGTTGTGTTCTGCTGCCTTTCCTATCTGAAATTAGGTAAGATTTCTAGAAAAATTTTTTTTTCTTTTGGTGGTTTATTCTAATAAAGTGGTTTTATCTAATCAAATATTAGTGTTTTAGGAAGCTGGGGGGATCCAGTCCTCAGCTTCCCATTTGAGACCCAGGGAAATCCCACCCTGCAAGGCATGTGACCCTGTGCAGCAAACTCCTGCACAACTGCAGCACCAATAAGCCATCATGGGACCTCTATGGTCCAGAACCAGAGATGTGAGTCTAGGATCTCCTGCCTGAAGTCATTTGGGTTGGGCCCAACTTTCCTTTTATCTGTGCAGAGATGGGGTTGAGGATAAAAGCTCCATGTTTTCTTTTTCTACCCTAAAATTTACTTATAACTCTTAATGTTTTTTTTTTAATTTCTCATCAATTCTTTATAAAATATTTGTGGTAAAAGAAACCACCTATTTAATGATGTGTTATTTCCTTAAAATCATTCATCACAATTGTGCAATCAGAAAAACTTATAGTTCATAATGTTATATTTCTTGCTATTTAAAAACAGTCTTTACATTTAAATTCATTGAGTATTTTCTCCTACTCCCCCTGGGGGAAAGAGTTTTAAGAGTTTTTAGCTTTTATCTTTATTTAATGATGTCACCATTCACACAGACACTCAAGTCCTAGGACTCTTATTTTTCTTTTCCCCTCTTACTATTCAAATGGTTGCCCAACCTGTAGTTTCTGCCTCTGCTAAACTCCTCAGATTAGTCAAACACTTTTTATTTCTGTTTTCTAATGTTGATGCCCAATCAGGTTCCGAAAAAAACTCTTTTTATACAAATTGTTACAGTAATCCCCTTTTAGTTTATTCTGCATGTGGCTGCCAGATTAAATATCCTAAAGTGTAGCTCCACAGTTTTTTTCCAACATGTGTGAACTCACAAATATTAAATTATATCCCATTATTTAATGAGGGAAAGAATGTATTTATTGGTCTGGCGAACAAATTCCTTAGTAGTAGAAACCCAATCTATTCTTCTAGTGCCTTTTTTCTCTTTTCTTAGATTTGACTTCTATTTCATTTAACATAAACTACTCATATTCACTCTTCAATAAATATGCTCCAGGAGTTTGACCATTGGTTTGCTTTTTTGTTTTGAATACCACATCTCCAGCACCATGCATTCTGATCTATTACAATATTAAAAATATTACACTCTTTTTAAAAGCTAGAATAAATGCAATATTCTGATACAATTGCTTATGGTGTCTCAACTCCTCTTAAATTCCATGGCACTTTGATTTCTCTATTTATTATACTTGTTGTTCATCTCCCCTATTCTAGGTATGAAATATTATTTGGTATCACTATCATAGGAATAATTCTAAACTGAAGGTAAATGAAAGGATTCCTGTGAAGTCAGCAAAATAGTGACTATGTGAAGATTCTGGTGGAGATACATAAATTTTGTTTTTAGCTGTGCTGCAGATTTTGAGTGTGTATGTTAGTGTGTAGCCATAACTTAATACTAGCTATTATAAATCCAAAGCACTAAGTAATGAAGCTTTAATAATGCTTACTTTTATTTATTTGTGTTTGTTTATGATAAGTTTTCTGTCTTCGAAGGTTAAAGCAATAAAGATGGGTCATGTTCTGGTTATAGATGAAGCAGACAAAGCCCCAACAAATGTCACCTGTATTTTGAAAACTCTAGTAGAAAATGGAGAAATGATTCTAGCAGATGGAAGACGCATTGTAGCAAGTGAGTATTAAAACTGCAATGTTTACTGTCATATCTGTAATTTTTGTATCTCTGGTATGGACTCAAGCAGTAGGCATAAGTTCAATATTAATTAAATTGTCCATGTTGATAATTATTTATAAAAAGTAACATTTAAGTCTAGCTTTATAAGTTTTACTTTTTTGTGGGAGAAGGTGCTGGGGATTGAACCCAAGGCCTATTGCATGCTAAGCACATATTCTACCACTGAGCTTATTCTGAGTCCCCAGTTTTATTTTTCATAGCCAGGAAGGCATTTTTGAAAATTTCTGTGGTAATATTAGGACAAATCAGTGTCATATTTTTCTACCCTGAGAATACTAGTATATACTTTATCAATTCATTTCTCCATTATTTGTGTGATTTATTTTCTTTATTATCTGGAATTTTAAGACTTATTTTATTATTAGCTCAATATAATTAGAAAATTTGCTAGACTTATACATGTACATATACACACACATAAAATACTTATTATGTATTTGTGTGTGTATTTATATGCACATATATACACACACACACACACACACACACACACATATATATATATACACGCATTAGATACACACTCTTCTTTAGCAGGAAGTAGTTCTCCTCTATTTTGGATTGTCTTCTGCTTGTTCCTACTCATATACCCTTTTTGTTATTGTTAGGAGAAATGAAGAAGGATAAATCGTATCAGTTTATTTAACCTACAAAGAATATTAAGTTTGTTTAACACAATGTGAGAATATTTTCTAGCTTTTAATTTTAAATTTTTGCCTCCCGAAAAGACTAGCCATTGAAAATACATATCCAATAGCCTAGTAACCAAACAAATTAGGATAACTAAAATCTGCAGTATTTGAAGATAGTGTAAAGAAGACCCCATTCAAAAGGTACAAGGTGACCATCACAGAAGTGTTCCTCCTGGACATTACCATTGTAAGGTTGCCATATTGAACCTCAGTTCAGACTAATAACAGCATTCTATTATTTTAATTTTACACTGAGTTTCATGAAAAAAATAAGAATTTGGTTAGTCTGAATATTCTCTCTTAACATCTTTTCAGACTCTGAGGATTGGAATTCTGCCAGCTCTTTTTAGAGGTATCTCAAGGACACGAAAATAGGAAGAAAGATTTTCTAAAACAAAATCATAGTTAAAGAGTGATTATTTCCTGGCAACCCTCTACATTTTCTGATATGTTTTTGAAGGATAACCGACAAGTAGATGGGGAAAATAATTTCCAAACTCAAGCATGATTGTTCGACTAGAATTTGTTATTGTTGTTGTTTTGTTATATTTTGTTTGTTTTGCTTTTTTGGTGCTGGGCACTAGACTCAGAGCTTTATGTTAAGCATGGGTTTTTTCACTGAGGTACACCGCCAGCCATGTAGATGATATTTTAAATAAAGGCACCTGAAGCTCTTTTAATGGAACTTCATAAACCATCAATTCCAGTCCTGTCTTTTTTCATTTTCCTTGCTTTTAAAAAACATTCTCCATTTTTATTATCATATTTCTTTTATTGAATAATTAAACTTTGCCTATGGCTCCATACTCCTCTGGTTTTCTTTACTAAAATTAATCGGGGTAAATGTTAAAAAACTATAGGTTGTATTAGCACATGCATATATGACACATTGAAAGATTATTGTTTGGTATCATAAATGATTGTAACTATAGGTTCTTACAGACTCATCTCAAAACTCCAGGTGTGTCATAATCATCATGTTTTAAAGGTGGACAGCCTAAGGCTAGGGTTTACATAAACCTAGATGGTAAATGGTTCTTCTTAAAATAACCATAATAAAGCTCTTACTAGCAGCTCAGACATTATCTGGAATGTGCACCAACCAGGAGATTGTAATATTTAGTTCCTTTAATGCCATAAACACTTGCATAATACAATTCCCTAATTGGAAACAAGTCAGCTGGGTTTTTAATTTTTTTTTTAGTTGTAAATGGATGCAGTACCTTTATTTTAATTATTTATCTTTATGTGGTGCTGAGGGTCAGTTGAACCCAGTGCCTCACACATGCAAAACGGGAGCTCTTTCACTGAGCCACAACTCCAGCCCCACAAGTCAGCTTTTTACTAATGAATTGGCAGTTTTTGAGACCTCTATTTTATGTAGTTATGTTGTAGGGTGTGTGACCTAAACAGGAATGATATCTTAAGCTGCATACTCTAAGGCTTTGTGCAAAGGGATGCAGCTGATAAAAAGTAAAGATTGTGTGGATTTTAGCCTTGGGTATTCCTTGTAGCTCATTATAAATTTTTATTTTTTTTAATTTGTTTCAAGAATAATGATATCTCAAGCCAGTATTGTAAGACAGTGTATGGATAGATTTGCTTTTTGATATATGTTGCACATTTACATAAATATGCAAGTTCTTGTAGAGTTTAGTATATTTATCAATATTCTGTTCTTGAGCAAACTTTTTCAAGCAAGTTTTTCTGCAATTCAGTTGTCACTATGACTACTTGTGTTAAAGTCATTAACTTGACATTCTTAAAAATTATTAAATATCAATAAAGAATAAATGGAAATTTTGTTTTTCAGATTCTGCCAACGTGGATGGACGAGAAAATGTTATAGTGATTCATCCTGATTTTAGGATGATTGTTCTAGCCAACAGACCTGGATTTCCTTTCTTAGGCAATGATTTCTTTGGCACCTTAGGTAAAAACAGTAATGCTGATAATAACAATCACATTAACAATAATATTAACAATAACAATGTTAATGACAGTGCCAGAATGGCTGTCACTGTTACTCTATGCTGTACCACAATAACTGCCCTGTGTGTCTTATATTCAAAGAGATTATTCTTCTCTAGTCAATTAGTTAATGACTGATAGAGGTGGGCTTCATATCTAAGTCAATCTGATTCCAGAGCCTTTTTTTCTTAATTATGTTAAACTATATGTCATTCAGGTCTTTTTGGAATGAAATAAGAAATGTTTTTAGTGTCTGTTTTTGTTACATTTCCCTAACTATGAAAAGAGCTAAAACAACTCTGAGGAAACACATTCACACTGATCAGAGGCCCTGGAATAAACTTAATCATCATAACCTTGAGGAACTTTTCTTTTCTGTGGCAAATATATATTTCTGGACTCTAATACTCAACATGAGGCAGGGTGATTCTCCTCATAGGATCTTTGGCCTAGTAATTCCACATTTAAGGAATTGACCTGATTTAAGTACAAGTATAGACAATACAGCATGTTTGTAATAGCAAGAAAAGAAACAAATCAAATACAATAAGTCATGAAAGTGGTACTCTATCTACTCTTTGAGGTTCTTTTCAGGGTAGAAGGGATATATATACACATATATGTTTTACTTGTGTAGAATTTCTCCTAACACAGAAAACTAGCAAGAAGGGAGGGTTGTTTGTCTTGAAATTCAGAAATGGACATGTAATTTGTTTATTTTACTATTTTTGTATTTTTTAACCATATATAGATATTTCTGTAAAAGCCGTTAACCATTCATGCATTACTGATACTCTTACAATGTAGCAATGTGAAAACACTAAAGTAAACTTGTAATTGTTTCTAGTGTGAAAGGTTTGAGGTTTTTTTATGTAGGTTCTTCATGGGTCACACACATCATATTAATTTTAATGTCTATAAGAACATTAATTCCCTATTCTGTCTTTGTCTTTCATCCTCCTCTGAATCCTGAAATCTGCTATGGCTCAGATGAAATTCCAGCCCTCCCTGCAGTCAATTCTTCCACTGAAGTCCTTTCGAGGAGTGTGTGTGTGTGTGTGTGTGTGTGTGTATTTCTCTCATACTGGGTCTAGAGGAAGTAAAGAGTCTTTGCTTCTTATTGCTATTTATGGGTTATTCTCTTTGTTTCTTCCTTAAAAGTTCCTAGCTTTACATCTTGTGTCATCAGATTATATTATTACAACCCCTTGTTGCTGTCGTCTACCTCCTTGTCCTTTCTCCATGATTTTTTGTTCTTTGTTCACTGTCACTCTGTCTAACTCTAACTGATCTGGGAGTGTTTGCAGTATAATGCATGTGGCTTTTCCAACTCTCTGGTTTCAGGGCTTCTTGGATGTTTTTATTCAAGTGATTTTATTCCATATTATACCTCAGCCACTCACTTCCATGGACATATCCTAGTTTTAATTACTGAAACTCTTCTATAATCTCAATTTTATAATTCTATTTATAAATTTTCCTTCGGTTTTTATTTCATCACTGCAAAACCTCCAGTATTTCCTGTTACTACTTCTACGTAAGTACCCCAAATCCAGCAACCCTTCATACCAATTAGAAAACATACACACATGGAGCTGAATATGGTTAGAAAAAGTAACCTCACTTTTCTTGACTAGGGACCTCAAGTGTCCCTTATTGCAATCACACTGTGCCTTCCTAGTTCTTTTACTTTTTCATGTTCTCTTCGGTAAGTAATTCAGATCTTCTCTCTCCTCACAGCTCTAACCCTGCTGGGTGAATTTTCTTGTTTGCTTTAAAATTGTACAATACTTCTGCAATCACTTGTGAGAAATTAAAACATAGAAGGAGAAGTCTTCTTCACTTTCCCACCAGTCCATACCACCAGTTATGTATGGACGACCCATACCTAACCAGGATTCAGTTTCTTGACTCGCTTTCCATAGGCCTATTATTTTTTCCTAGCTTCCTACTGTACTGAGAAAAAAATAAAAACAATAGAAGTTCACATCCATAGACTTGTGTCCCCTGAACATTCCATCCATAGTGTTGTGGTTTCCACCATTTCCAGGTAAACCATTCACACTTTCATCAAGAGCCAGTCCCTCCAGATGAGTACACGATTCCACTTTCTTAAGGATAGAGCTTGAAAAATTCTGCCTTTCCTCTCCCATATCAGCAGTTTCCTTTTTTGTTCAATTGTTCCCATCAGCAATCAACTTTGTTTCCTTTTAAGATATCTTCAATCTTAAAAAAGACCCTCTAATCCTCTTTTTTTGCTAGCTGCTGTTGGATTCTTCTACTATCTTTTTTAGCTACACTCCTCACAACAGTTTTTCACACTCAGAGAATTATCTATACTTGATAGCTGCATTTCTCCTTCACCAGTATCTCTTAAGTTCATTCTTATAAGATTTTTGTTCCCATCTCTCCACAGAAACATTCTTGTCTAGGTTATCAGGGACTTTCCCACTGTTAAATTTGGTGATCAGTTTGCAGTGCTCATCTTTTTTAATCTGTTAGCAGTACTGAATAGAGTTGACACAGTTGGTCACCCTCTTTTCCTTAATGCACTTTCTTGAATTTGACTTCTAATTCTCCTCCAGCTGCTTTTTTGATTTCTTTCTACATTAATGACTATTCCTTCTCAGCCTCCTTGTTGCATGCTTGGTATAATGCTGCTAGTCCTCTTTTACCTAGCTATGCTCATTCCTTGGTAAAATCAGAACATGTTATGTTTTAAAACACCATTTATACTCTTGTTGTTGCCAAATTTTTATTTCCAGTTTAGACCTGTCTCCCACACTATACACTGATATCCAGCTGTCTATTCAATAGTTCCCATATCTTGGATCTAACATGTCCACAATGAATTTACTTTTCTTGATTTATAGTGTCTTTTTTCATCTTAACTAATAACTCCATTTTCTTTGGCCCAAAAATATTTCTTGACTTTTCTCTTTCCTCTTGATTTCTTACCATCTATCAGGAAATCTTATTGGCTCTATCCTCAAAATATATTCAGAATTATGTTATATTCATTATATTACATTACAGCTGTATCATATTATAATTATATTACACTCATCACTTCTATCGGTCACCATTTTGATCTGAGCCACCACAGCCTCTCATCTGAATTATTAGAAATAGTTCTTTAGTGGATCTCCCTGTTTCCACTGTTATCTTTTGTCTTGAACTGTGAAGATTTTACCCTACCTGCCTTTAACCTAACAAATTAGCTTGCCACCATTTTATGGCAGAAGATACTGGACTCCTGGGTCAGAGGAAAAGGAAGGATTATTACTCACAGCAAAAGCAGTAGTCAGAGAATTGGCATTTGTACTAGTTCCTCAAGGCCTAGGTCCCACAAGATAGCACAAAGAGGATCAAATGATTCCTGCTTTTGCATGAGATGCTTTGCGGGGGCGGGAAGCTTAATGTTAGGTAATCCAAATGTTTTATCATGGACAATACATATGCCTTATGTTGTTCCAGAGGGAAAGATATTTGCTTTACAAACATTCTTAAAAATATAGTCAATGGAGTCAGCGTCTTTGCTAATAAGATATGCTACAATGCTATAGATCCCAATACCCTTCTGTAGTCTCTTCTCAACACAGCAGTCCATTCTTTTGTTACAATTCCTCCCTGGATTTCCACTTTATTTTGACTATAAGTAGTCTTTATAACAGTTTATAATGTCCTGTGAGATATGTCTCCCATATCTTGTCTTTCTGACCTCCTGCCTTATCCTGTTCTGAACTGCTCTCCCTGTCGCTCATTCTGTTCCAGCCATTCTGTTCTCCTTCCTCTTCTTTTTACATGCTAGATATTTTTGCTTTAGGGTCTTTTATTAGCTGTACTCACTGCGTGGGATGCTCTTCCCCCAGGTATCTACATTTTCTTAGATGCTACCTTCTCAATGAGTTCTACCTGGTTGATTTTCACCACCATAACTACTTCTATTGTCCTATACTATGCCTTTCTTTTTCTTTGAAACATATACTTTCTAATAGTTATCATTGATCTCCCTTTGCTTGAATATAAACTTCACTAGTATAGGGAATTTTGATACATATGAAATACCTAAATACGTAAATACATATAAAGTACCTAGAGTTGTACTTGGCACATAGAAGATGTTTAATAATTATTTGATGAATGAATAAATATGGAGACAATTTTCTTTTTTAAATCAGTGTTAAATTTCATTTTCAGCAAAAACTGTTTTACATTTTATATTTGAAAACTTTGTGATAAAAGTAGAAGTTATCATGGCTTTCATTTTAATTGAGTTACTTTTAAATACACACACACACATGCACATAGCCCTACCCCCACACACAATAACTTTATTCAGATGGTTTCTAAATCGCAGTAAGATCTTACTGCTATCTGACTAGGTATCTTCTTTTTCTAAAATGAACCCCTTAAATGATTTAAGTTTATTTATTTTAATTTTCTTTATACCTGTTCTTTTAGATTATGGATCAGGGAATTTTATGACTCAGCATGAACAATTCATCCTTCTTTTGAGAATACAGTGTATTTCTCTAATACATTCCTTCTTGTATAAGTAACAGATTAAATATTTTGCATTTAGAATTCCATTTCTTGGTTTTAATTTAGACAACATCTCTGCAGTTTTCTTTTCTAAAACTCTCCTCTAAGGTATATTCTAGCAATCTGCACACTATATAACTTGTTAGGGTAATAATGATACTAATTTTCCATTCTTTAGAATACATTAAAAAAAGCATTCACATAAGACAAATATATGTAATTTCTGAAGATCTTCAACATTTGTTAAAATTAAAAAGGCAGTCTTGGAACCACGTGAAAAATATACTCCTATTAATGGAAAAGGAACAAATCGCTAGAATTGTATTTGTTTGCATGTATGCATTTATTTTAAAATACTAAATCAGATCTGGAAAAATAAATGCGCTGAACTGCTACCAATGAGTGCCTTTTAGAGAGGGAGTGACATTGGCAGAGATATTGAGGAGACTTTACCTTTGTATTTCAGTATCTCTCAGGAAGCATTTTATTCAAGTATTATGTAAATTTTAAAAAATATTTATTTGTTAGTTGTAGTTGGGCACAATACTTTTATTTATTTATTTTTATATGGTGCTGAGGATTGAACCCAGGGCCTCACACATGCGAGGCACACACACAGTCGCTGAGCCACAATCCCAGCCCCTATTATGTAATTTTTAATGGGAAAAAACTCATGCCAAATAAACTACCATCACCCAGTTTTCTTCCACTTCAGTCATTTCTTTCTTCTCTCTACAACCCTATTGTTGGATGGGCTTTTTGTACTTTGATGAGCAACCAATGGCTCTTCAAACAGCTATTGCATTTTCTCCAGTAGCATTATAGTGGATTAGTCACATGATAAATGTGAATCTTCTTTCTCCCTTAGGTGACATTTTTAGCTGCCATGCAGTTGACAACCCCAAACCCCACTCAGAACTTGAGATGCTCAAACAGTATGGACCAAACGTGCCTGAGCTCATCCTTCAGAAGCTTGTGGCTGCCTTTGGGGAGCTGAGGAATTTGGCTGACCAGGGCATTATTAGCTATCCTTATTCCACCAGGGAAGTAGTAAACATCGTCAAACACTTACAGGTATGGCACGCACCTGGAAATAGAGTTTTAGAAGAAGCCACTAATCTCTTTTTATTCAGACTACATAATTTATAATAAGCCTTTCAATTTCTATAAATAATCCAATTACATAATACAGAGTGTCTGCAGTCTAAGTTGTGAATGTAGAAGACAAATGAACATTATCTGTTAGGCCTTTGAATTGGCTTTGGCAAAGTTCTATACCATGGTCATTACCAAGCAACTAGGAAATTTGTGGAGGAGGGTTCAGAGGAGGAAGGTGATGTAAGAGTGAGGCAGTGAGACAATGGGGAGAGATGTTAATTTGTTTGATTTACTCATTTCATAACATATATATATATATATATATATATATTGTGTGTGTGTGTGTGTGTATACACACACACACACACACACATATATCTATAGAAACATTACATTCTATCCCATAAATATATAAAGTTATCTGTGAATTAAAAGAATATATTTGGGAAGAACAAAAAGAAAAATAGAAAACATTATTCTACCTATAAAATCATAAGTCCAATTCAGTCAGTTTAGATCCCAGAACCTAAAGAAAATCAAAACACAAACAGAGCCATTACAGAACCCAAAGGAACCACCAGTGTACATTTAGCTGTAGTGGTACTTGTTTTCTTTCCATCTACTGTTCCCTATTTTTCTATTCACTGTACTTTTTATATTCTTCCCTTATTTTCTTGTTCCTTTATTTTTTTCATTTATTAATAGATTAATTTTTCTAAATAGTTTTGTGTTCATATTAACACTGCCTTAACTAATATTTTAAAATTGGTCATCTGGTACTCCTTTAAAGAGGGGGAGGGGGTTCCGAAAGAAGGTATAGTCACTGAACACCTGGTTCTGAGTTCTCCCTGATGTTTAAGAGTGAGAACAGTTACTCCTGAAATTCTAGTATTTATTTAAAAAGAAGCAAACATTAAAGGATAAAAATGTATGTTTTCCAACTATCTCTGTATCTAACAGGCTAGTAAATTTCTGCTAAAGTTCATTTGTGCATTTTGTTCTATCAGTTTAATAAATCTTTATAATGTTATATACTTTATCACATACATAATAAGGATTTTATTTTATTTTTTTAATACAGAAATTCCCCACTGAAGGTCTTTCCAGTGTGGTTCGGAATGTGTTTGACTTTGATTCCTACAACAAGGACATGAGGGAGATTTTGATTAACACTTTACACAAATATGGGATACCTATTGGAGCAAAACCTACCAATGTGCAGCTGGCAAAGGAGTAAGGCAAACTCACTGTTGATAAAATGTTCTTGAGCATTACTCTTCTGATTCTGAAATACTGATAATTTCTATTCTACTGAGTTGGTGTGGAAATCACTTTCCATGAATAAGCTTTGCAAATATATGTTGCTATTTACTGGCTGGTTTTCAGTTGAATAGCATTATTTATAGACTTGTAAATTGAGAATTTCAATTATAAATATCCCATGAGTAGATGTAATACAATCAAATAAAGGGAAATATTTGTTTCTTTAACAGTGTCTGTTCTTTTGTTGAATTACAATGGGTCTCATTATTTCATAATCCAGTGCAAAATTGTACAAATATGAAAACTACATTCTAATGTACATTTTGTTATGATGTTCTTATTTATATCACCATATAGGTTATGGTAGTTTTCTGAATTTATAATCACATTAACTCAGTTATTTATTTATTTTTTAAAATTTCAGCTTCATAGATGAAAGAGATAGGCAGTGAGAACAAGCAAGTTCATTTCATATGGGCCAGTTGCCTTCCTTTTATTTAGTAATCACAGGCTATGCTTAACCTTAGTTAAGATTCTTGCAAATATGTTGTTTACCAGAATGATGGTTGGTAGAGTTTGTTAGAAGTAACTCAGCCAGTGCAGGTTCACTGGAAAATAATTTTATCTTATTTTTTAAAAATATTCTTTAGTTGTTGATGGACCTTTATTTTATTTATTTATTTGTATGTGGTGCTGAGAATCAAACCCAGTGCCTCACACATGCCAGGCAAGCACTTTACCACTGAACCACAATCCCAGCCCTCTGGAAAATAATTTTAAATATGCATAGTTTATGGATAATGCATCTAATGCCAACTTTGTCATAAATATGATCATTTTTCATAAATTCATAAGATACAATAATTAATCAAAGTAAAATAATATTTAACAGTCTCATATAGAGGCAATATAAAGTTTGTTAAATACAAATTAGTGATTAGTTCAGTAATATATATATTTTTCTAAGTGTATACATCATCCTTATTTATTTGTTCTTCGAAGTCATTGTAAAAACTTGTCATAATATACATATACACCATTAAAATAAATTTTTAAAGTATCAGAAATTTCTTAAAGAGAAACAAATATTTCCCTTTTGTGGTAAAAGTTACAACATAGAATTATGTTAAAAATTATACGTGTACTAGTTTGTATTATTGAGTGATTTTTTTTTTCAAGAATGATTGGGTATCAGTTACTTAGCATAAACTTTTCTGTACAATTCTATTTTACCTATTGATTAGCAGTCAGTATGTGCATTTTGAAACTAGGTGAGTAATTGAATAGGCATAAGTTATCTCCTATATTAGTAAGTTCAATATGCAAACTTCCACTACTACCCATGTTTATTACTTCCTTTTTATAAATTACATTTTCATTTGGAAATGGGGCAGTTTTATTAATATTAATAAATTTATATAATTAGAGTTATTTTCATGGAAAATAGGCTTATGATTAAAAGTTATTGGTAATATTTATTTAAATGTTAAAATAGTAGATCAATCATAAGAAAATTGGTGGCAATTTCAGTGTCTACAGATGACAGATTGATGGTTTAACATATGATCATCCTAAGTTCTAAACTGAAAACTTCTTGTGATGGCATATTAATATTTGCCTTTGCAAGTTAATTACAATTCTAGTACTTACACATGAGTGGAAGCAAAAGTATACTGAGCCTGGAAGCAATATGGTCATACTCATCCTTAAGATGGGGTTGGAAACAACTATTTGTCCACCTACTGCATGTAGCTAAAAATAAACTTATAGCAGATGTGGAGGATGAGTGCATTTTTCCTTTGGAGTGGAGATAATGGTTGACTATAATTTGCATAATCATTCAAAGCCTTGTTTTCCTCATCTGTAAACTACAGTGACTTCAGCAGTTCAAAAGTAGTGATGTTTTATTGCCCATTAGTGAATTCATAGGTTTCATAGCACTATTTCTATTAAATTATCAGCCTTGTACCTAAAGAAGGTAGCATGATAAAGTGAACAGCTTGGGAATCTAGCAGTCAACCTGCATACCTGGGCCAGAAATAGAGAAACAGTTAAAAAAGACAGAGTCCTGCCCTCAGAGAGCTCGAAGTTCCATCTTGGTCATTTGAATTTAGAGAAGTTACATCCTGGTAAAATGAGAGCTTTATATTATAGACCATATAATTTACTATCTAGATTAGGATATTTTTGAGAATGGAGGGGGAGAGCTATTGATGATAACTCTGAAAAGAGATGTGATGTAAGACTCTGTTCTAGTCCAGCCTGAATAAGTGTGTGGTTGTCCTCATTATAGAGCATTAGCAAGGTTCCTTCCTATTCTAACATTTTGCATTTTTTATGTAATCTTTTAAAAAAAATTTTGTAGTTGTAGATGGAAAGAATGCTTTTATTTTATTGTTTATTTTTATGTGGTGCTGAGGATGGAACCCAGTGCCTCACTCATGCTGGGTAAGTGCTCTGCCAGTGAGCTACAGTCCCAGCCCTTTAGTGTATTTTTAATGTCTCTCAATTCTGCAAAAACAAGCCAAAAAATAAAGAAATAGTACAGGTTAGATGTCTCTAATCCAAAAATCCAAAATACTTCAAAATCTGAAACTTTTTGAGTGCCAAAATGATGCCACAAATGGAAAATTCCACAGGTATATTATAAGGTATACCTGAAACATACATGAATAATATTTAGATTTGGGTTCCATCCCCAAGATATCTCATTATGTAATTGCAAATATTCCAAAATCTAAGAAAAAAATTCAAAACCCCAAACAGTTTTGGTCCCAAGCATCCAGATAGAGGATCGTCAGCCTTTACTAATACTTAACCTTTCTCCCCCTGGGTACCACACTGTAGACAGTAATCACATAGCCTTCTGAAGATTTAAAGTTGTCCCCATGCCGTCTAATATTCGACTTTGACTTTTCTCCACCTTTTGCTAAATGTTTTGTTCAACTAGACCTTTAGACTAAACTAGTTCTCCAAGGCTGGTTCTGCCTAGCTCTGCAGGTTGTTTGTTGTTTGGAGAGGATCCTCTTTAGATTTCATCTCCTAGGGAAGAAGGGTAAAATGACTCAACTACTATTACTATCCTTTTGCCCTGATAGACAAATTTTTATTGCAACCTGTTAATTTTATTTTCCTTTAATTTAACCATAGTCCTTATTGAATGGGAGCAAAAATTACTTTGAGTCTAGACCAAGATGGGCATAGTTACATTCAAGATGAGAACAGAAAGATAATTTCGCCTCCTACTACATATAGCTAAAAAGAGACATAAAGCAAATGTTGTAGCAGAAGGAAAATTTTTACACAAGAGAGAGATGACACTAAACCATTATTTGTATAGTCATACAGCTCCTTCTTCAGTTGAAATCAGAATATACTCTGACTGTTTAGAGCAGTAATATCATTTTAGTGCTCTTTGATGAAATTTCCAAAAGAGAGAGATTGTTACTTGCCTTTGTTCTCCTAAGTAGTATAGTGTTGTTACCTTTCTCTAGGTTTTTGCACACTTTTTAAAGGCCAATGTGATGAGACAAACTTAACTTGTCTTCTTTAAAATAAACTTTTCCCAAACCTGGCATTTTTAGACCAAGCTTTATTTGATGGTTCTTTTTACTTTGCTTTAGCCCACCATAATTAGCTCTTCTTCCTGATTTACAAATGTGTTTTCAGTTCTTGGTAGTAGAATCAGCATTGGCTGATTACCTAGCCTTCCACATAGAGTTTACCCATTTCCACTAGTATCTCCTGAGGTTGATTGTTTTGTTGATTGGTTTGGTTTTGGTCCCTTTGTAAGTTTCCAGTACACAAGAAAGCATGTCAAGGAGATGATAAACATAACCAAATAAGGAGGTACACTGTTAGAAATTATTTTTAAATGTAAATATTATGCTTTACATGGGATTTGAATTTAAGTCTCTGTTTTTTAGTCTATAGAGCAGCAACTCATCAAGACAATCTGTGTTGTGTGTTGTGCGTACACACATCCACAAATCTGATTTTTTTTTTCAGTACAATAAGCAGAGATAGGAGGGTTTGGGTTAAAATATGAATTCTTGAGTTTTAAACTTCATTGTTGGATATACACCCACACATAAACATATATATGTTTACATACATGTAAACATTCAACCAAAAGCATATAGATTATCTACTCCAGGAGAATATAGATAACTATAGATAAACATATAAATTTCTAAGTAGAGTTTGCTTGTTTTGGCCTTACATGAGCTTTTATTTCTGAAGCTTCTTTTATTTGAGAGTAAACATACTGCTAGCATGTTAGCACTTCCAAATTAAAAAGTGTGTTTCACAGCAATTTGCAAACTGTCATTGCGGGAAAACATTTGTTTTAAAGGAAGAAAAATCCTGTTTTCTTTTTCTAAACATCCATTTTAAGTGACTTATCTATTTTATCTTAAATTTGTGTACCATTTTCTCCATAACCATTCTTAAAATGAGACTTGTCATCTTTTATGTCTACAATGGAATGTGGATATTCTACTTCTAAATAAAATTGTGTAACATTTATAATGTCATAATAATGCAATCATGGTAATGGAATAATAATAATAATGACAGAAACACAGGTAACTATGTGCCTAGCACATGTCCAGCTATTCTCTACACAAATCATATAATCCCTTCAATAACCTATGGTGTGTGTGTGTGTGTGTGTGTGTGTGGTATGGTGTGGTGTGTGTGTGTGTGTGTTTAGAATTGAATTTTGAAGTTGAGGAATTTGAGGTACAGAACAGTCACATATCTTGCCTATGGTTAGAAAGCAGGGGTACACCTTTGGTATTTGTATATTCAGAATTCTAAAGATAATATAAATAGATTGACATGATTATGGGCAATTTCTAAATCAAAGTTATTATTGGAGACTGGAAAGTATTGTTGTTGCATAAAAGAACCTTTGAATTTTAAGTAATCAAGTTGGAAATCATCCTTGTTCCTGATATTATATGCTT